CTCTATTCTCTATTCTTATTTTGACATCGTATATTTTGAAAACAATTAATTACAACCTCAGGAAATAAAGTAAATTAAAATAATTCCACTCAAATGTTTGTTCTTGTCTGCTTTAGATTATCTTTAGGAAGCGATGGTCAAGGGGTTAGGGTGTTCGACTTTTAGCCATTAGGCTTTGGGTTAAAACCTTGTCCCGCCTACCTCGATTCGGGTAACCGAGTGGCATCATCATCCCACATACTTAGAGTGTTTCATGCTCAGATAACTGGTGAATGACTTAACTCATTATGTTTATTATCACTGATATAAAGAATTAGTTGTTGAATATAATTATTCACTCAAAAATTTCAAAGAGTGTATTTAATAATTAAACCAATAATGAAATAAAGGGGCTTAGAATCGGAAGTACAACTACCATAGAAGAAAGTCGTATGTATAAACGCAAATGTAAGTTTTTAACACAAGTAGATAGTGGCTAAGAGAGAAATTCAGGACATAAGTTTCGTCCATATTAGGGATTACCATTTGGATGTATTTAAATCCTGATATCGGCGTTCATACTGAGACTCGAAATCTGCTCTCCAAACCTCAACATTTTATGCATTGAACTACCGATCCCATAAAAAAACATTCTGTTTAACAAAATGAAGTTAGACAAATGGTATTAGAAAACGATAGTAAATCAGTTGATGAGGTTGTAAATCTTCATCGACTGAGATGGTTGGGCCACTTATTATGTATGCCTGAACACCGATTACTACGACGCGCAACGCTAACGGGTGTTGGGGATGGTTGAAAGGAAGTTAGGGACTGTCAAACCAAAACGTGGCATCAGTCATAGGAGTCACAAACTTCTAGTCTGAGCCATGTTGATGGATACAGACTACTTGGTTTGGTGTCCGCACGACCATCGTAACCAATGGTTGGAGACTGTGTGTGACATGGCTCAGAATCGATCACAATGGCGTAGGTGTATACAATCTTTGCTTTCCCGTAAACCGTGAGATTAAAATTGCTAAATATCTTTCTTCCTATGAACTAATTCTTTCTTCCTGTACTATCTCCTTATATGCAATCTTTCTTCTATCTATTACCACCACTGAATTAACTACTTCTATGAATCCGGTGTTCATCTTGTTGTGCTAATGCGGTATGGCAACTTGGACTGATGCATATATGTTCCTTGTCCTACGTTGCAGCTGACTGGCTGACAAATATTAACAATAGAATAATTTAACAAAGATTTAATTTAAGTAGATAGTTTTCAACATAACCATGGGAAAATATAGGTCAAACTAGATCAATAAATATGTAAGATTGATGTTGATAACAATATTTAAATAAAGTGAGATTAAGATTAAATACAGAACACCATGAATTCATGTTGTTGTTGTGGTTGTTGTTGTTGTTGTTGTATTGAATTGCTTTCTCTTGTGATACACATAACCTGATAAGTTTAATTAGTTTGAATTATTAACATAAATTGGGTTTCAAAGAAATAAATTGTCTATCGATGAAGAATAACTTATTTAAAAATTCTAGCAGAATTTGATGAACATTCAGATTGTGAAATTGAAAATACTGGAGATAATTTTATTATGACAAAATATATCAAAAGTCGAGGACAACAGGACATTTTACTGTTCATATTAAGCACATTGATATCCTATACTGTAGAGCCCCCAAATGCCCTGCTACGGCCAAAAGTGGGGACAGTTCGCTCTCCCTCTCCAAATGCTCTCACATGGCCAAGCGTATATAGCCTCTACCAGGGAAGTCCTACTCACGGCCTTTTCGTGGCGGAGTGTTGTTTACGAAAGTGAGAGGACAAAGTGCCAATGTCCGGTGCTTTAACCGGATCCCAAACCAATGGTGCACATGGGCTCCAGTATCCTGAGGGAACAAATGGCGTATGAACCAATCCTTGGTTATTGGCTACCATGGGATTGCATCACCTCACGATGTTCCACTGCTTTGTGGATCAGACCTTTAGATCGAAGGCTGTGGGTGTGGTCCCCTAAGAAAACTACCTGTTTCGGTTTTGGCACCTGTGCAGTATCACAGCCCTCACACATACCAAATGAAATTTGTGTGGCTCATATATATTTGGTGCCTCCTTGTACCGATATCTATGTGTTAAAATAAATAAATAATAAAATATACCGTAGAGATCAAAACGTTCTTCATAGTCCGATGGAACGCTGTCTTTTAAATAACAGAAGCAAGGTCGGTGAAATGAATGCATTCAGAGTGATTGAAAAATATTTGAACTGTGCGTAATTACAATTGGCAAAGTTATAGTAACGAGAATGTTGGAACCTGACCTTCGTATTTCAAAAAAATTCAGTGTTTGGCCTTTAAGTGCGCTGTGAAAAAACTAAACATTCTGTCCTCTTCTAGGTCTTGTTATACAACCAATTAACATCACAATCTGGTGAGCTCATATGCATATTTCTTTCCAGACCTTCTAATTTTCTAGCATATTACTTAATAACAAAATTATCTCAGTTAATCTAGAATAGTCACTTCAAGTACCTATGAAACCATACTGAAACATAAAGAGAACTTATTGTTTGTACAGAGGGCTTGTAAGAAGTATCAAATTTCCATGGTTTACATCACAATATGATGTTATTTAGAGAAAAATTAAAAACGAGTAATCATTAGACATGTTTCATCCTTGTACGCAACTTCCAGGCAGCTCGGTCTCATCACAAAAGATTGAACCTAAAACCTTCAGTCTTAGTGATAAATCCTAACTTCTAGGCAACTGATCTAAATTATGTTAATAATTTGAAATAACTAAACTTATTTGGTTGTATTTATCTGAAGTGAAAGTAACAATATACAATATGAGTTTTTGATATTCTACATTTAGCATAGTTATTTATGCATATACATATTCTTTGATGAGGTTGATAAACTATTGCATTTCTCCCCACCCCCTCCTACTCCGAAAAAGTTCGAACCCGAACCGCAGGATAAAACGTTGAAACTAACTAAATATCAATCGTTGAGATGACATAAATATAAGTATTACATTAAATTTAGTTCTTATATTGCTTAGTTCTTTTTTTTTGGTGGAGTTTTGTTCTCGCCAAAAGGCAAGCTTCCACTCGAGAACAACTATATTTTCTCCATGAGTGTCTTCGCCAGCATGTTCTACCAACAACACGACCAAACCATCCAGCTCAGAGAACAAAACTCCATCAAAATCATCCACCTGAGCTACAAATCTTCTCCACCATCTCTTAGTTCTTTTGTTTGTCAAGTACCATTTACATGATAATCATATTCTTTGAAGGTAAGACAATATCAATTGAGTTTCCAATAGTTACTCAACTATAATAATCTTATATTTATTTCTTAAAACCTTAATAAAATAATAAAAAAAATTGGTATCGAATTCGGTGAGAATATTATTTTATGGGAGAGAACAATCCAGATTCCAGTGGAAGAAGAAATCTGAAAGCCGATAGAAAACACATTGAGCAAAGCATCCATTTGCGTCACAAGGCAAGCCCACAATTGAAATCCTCAAGGCTCAAGGAAAAGAGGAATAACAAAGAACACATTTCACCGAAAAATGGAGACAGATATGAGATGAATACACAACAATTGGATAGTTCACTTGGTATTGTTTTGCTTGTATCTTCCAATTGAGGTTAAAGACTACAATTGATCAGTCTGTTGGATAGCTATAGAGAGGAATGCAGCGTAGGACAGAGTGTGTTGGAGAATGTTTGTCAGGGTGGCCTATTGTCCATTAGGAGTACAGTGTGTGTTATTATGTTAAGCCCAAATAACTTATTCTAACTTTCGGACATCTCAATCTATTCATTCCACTTCAGTCACGTTCTAATCTTGTTAATTATTTGCTTATCAACTTGACTGTTTTTATATGAGCGCGTAGGTGTGTGTACACTTCTTATCCCATCACTCATCACATGTCTGTAACAAATTTTTGTGTGCTTATAAATATTGATTAACGCTTGGTTAGAAGTGAGTTGGCTTACTAGCCATCTCCACCGCGCATCATTTTTGCTTCGCTTTCTTCTCTTTGCATCGTTTCCCCGTTCGTTTGTCTGGATCAACGATTATACAAAATATATGTATTCAAAAGTCCATTCTCGTTATTTCACTTGTTTAATTCCGTTATTAACTAACGCGATTTAAGTCAATGGTTATATACGAGGATAAAAGATAAAAAACATTCATACAATCTACTTTGAGTCAGATCTCGGGCCACAAAAGTAACAGGTGTATGTAAGTAAGTAATAATTTATGGACGACCTTAATAGTGTCTACCTACTTAATAGGCCTAAATGAAGGTTATCAAGTAGTTCAAAGAATAAAGACAATGATTTATGGTTGATGGTAAGGGTTTAGATTTAGATTTATAGTTCTTATCATGAGCTAACATGAGCTAAGACACTATTTAAACAAATGAGTGAGTGAATGTTGCATCAAAATCCAAAACCTATTATCTTAAATTTGATTAGTTCATCCTGAGATGGTGGAGAAGATTTTTAGCTCAGGTGGATGAGTTTGATGGAATTTTATTCTCTGAGCTGGATGGTTTAATCGTGCTTAGAGAACAAAACTCCATCAAATTTATCCATCTGAGCTATAAATCTTTTCCACCATTTCAAAATCATATGAACATGATACACTTCTCGTTATTCGATAATGGGAGAATTTCACCAAAAGGCAAGTTTCCACTCGACAACAACTATATTTTCTCCATGAGTATTTTCGTCAGCATATTCTACCAACAAATATAAGATATAAACCTCCAATCAACTGTCTATTCAGATGGAGAATAGCTGAGCAAAAAATGAACACGACCAAAATCAATTCAACTTAAAGAATAAATCTTGCCTCAAATTTATTCATATTTCAAAATTCCTAAATATGTTCTATATACAATTATGATATGAGATAATTATTGTTTATAATAACAAAATAGGAAAATATAACAATATTAATCAAAAACTTACAAATCCATAACCTCGACTTTTTCCTGTTTGTCTATCAGTAATCACTACAGCTTCATCAATTGGACCAAATTGATCAAAAAAACAACGTAAACTTTCATCTGTTGTATGATATGGTAATCCACCAACAAAAATTTTTGTTAATGTTGTATCTTTTTGATGATTTATTGACATAATATAAAGTGAAATTCTTTCCACAACACCAACAACAACAACAAAAAAGATATATTTCCAAAATGTAATGGATCACAGCAAAAAATAATTTTTTTTTCTTTTTTTTTGTTTTTGTTTATTTTAAAATTTTACAATTTTTCTTTATTTTCTTTTCTTTTTTCTTATTTTAATTTACTCTTGTTTTATTCATACTTTAAATAAATGAAAAAAAATTGTTTTTTTATTTTTAAATTAAAAATGACACACGTTTATATATATATAATTTTGTCAAGTTCCATCTTTTTAATTATCCAATAGATTGTTTCTATGTGTGCAACATAGACATACACACACGCGTACGCACACCCTCTCTCTCTCTCTCTCCAGAGTTTTTTTTAAAAAATTTTTGATTTTTTTTTGTTTTGTTTTGTTTTGTTTTAATTTGATTGGACAATTACAAATTAAGATTGTGCATATAGTAAATCGTTGATTGGTCAATATGTATATGTCCTTACAAAATTGTATCATATATGAGTATTCTATTCAATAACCAATGAGAATATATAGAAATATTTATTGAATAGATTAGTTGTGTGTAATTTGATTAAGATCATGAACCATCATTGAAAACTTGAAAGTACTGGATAGTTGTTTCGTTCTATTGTTGGACACCTTAACAGTGCATATCTACGATCAAGTATGTGGGATTCGAACCGAGCACCTTCAATCTCGCATGTGAACGCTTAAACTTTAAACTAATAAGTTGTCCGGCATCCAATGGTGTTAATGTTCAACTTTAATTCATCCACGAAATTGCTTGAACATCTTTCATTGTACTAAAGTAGATAATGGTCTCTACCTGATATGGATTAGTTCCACTGGTCTCGGCTTTATACAAGAACTCCCTCATAAAGCTAGTCAATATTGAGCATATGTTATAGGTATTTTATAACTAGACCAACAATCTAGTGATTGTCAACTTCATGATAGTAATTTAATAGTTGAATTCATGATTCAATTGAAGCTAGACCACTATTGAAAACCTGAAAGTACTCGACGATCATTATTACTGAGCCTCAGTATAAAAGTTTCAGATAAAATGTATCATATGTCCTGATATTTTATTGCTATATGAATTTTATGGAATTTATGTAGTATTAAGTTTATTTTAATCAATAACACACTATAGCAACTCACGTTCAATTGAGTTTGCTCTCACCTAATTCTGTTAAGCCCTTTTATTAACTTATTAAACGGACAAAGTCACCTGCACTATAATAACTTATTGTATCCTTATTACTGTTGCGAATGTATGTACCTTTATTATAGTTATCCTTGTATGAATATGTATGCTCGGCAAGCCTTACTGCCTACGCATTTATTCACGCTACTAGCTTTACTATTAACCGCTTAATTGACTCGATGATTCATTCATTTCACTATGTGTATATATGTCCATGTTATTCATATTCATGACTCGCTCGCTCGTTCATTCACTCGCTCGATCGCTCGCTCGTTCATTCACTCGCTCGATCGCTCGCTCTTGCCCTTGCTCTCTCTCTCTCGCTCGCTTGCCTGTTTGCCTTTCGGCACAACTATTTAATGCTTGCTTAACGCATCTGTAATTTTGGATATCTGTGTGTGGTCCCTTAATAAACGTAATTAACGCTTCGTATTCGCCTTCTGATTAACGTACCGTTGGAGCATTATTTGGTGACGGTTACCGAGACGAACTGTATACGGAGTTTAAGGAATATATCGAACACCGACCACCACAACACAATCTTAAACAATTATTCAAGCCATTTTTAAGTCCCATAATAAAAACAATAATATATCGTAATACGGAGCAGTTACACTAATAATTGTCCTGAATGATTACTCCAAACCCGCATATAGGGAGTACATAAATTAATTAAAGAATCTTATGGAGAGGTATGGTTAAAGATAACCTTGAATATTTTACATTAAGCTACATAACTGAAATGTAATGAAATTGCTCGATTTCGGGATGTTTGATTACTCCATTTAACTGTTAAATAGTCATACATATATAGTTAAATATGAAGTAAAGGAAAGTAAAACCTGATGTTCTTTTGTTATTTGAATTGAAAACTAAAATGCTTAAGTAAATCAGGTCATCTCCTAACTAGTGACTCTTTATTATTAATTAAAGAATTCTACTTCATAATTAAAACACTGATTTATCTACAACCAGAAATAAGAAACCAGATCAAGTGTCGCCATGTCAGCGGTTGAGACTTAATCAACAACTGTTGTTATGTCTTTGTCAGCTATTACTTATACCTGAAAAACAAGAAACCACTACAGTTCCCACGACGCGAAATAAGAACACAATCGAGTGGTACAAGTGAACAATTCACAATCAATTGATCACTGGGTGGTGATCAATTTCATGTGTATCAAGTCCTTCTTAGTGCAAATCGAATGCTATCAACCAAGTTGTAATATGGCCACCAGTCTAGGTGACTGGACATTGCGTGCACTATGTTGAGATAAGATGGTATTTGGAGGTAAACGACAGGAAACCCTGAAACCGTGTTTCGTGCTACTTCACACTCGTCAGCAAGGTGATTAAATCTCACTCCTACAGGAGGTGAGTCGCCACTCGGATAGCTCAGTGGTAACGTCTCTCACTGTGAAGCTGGGTGACACGGGATCGAATCCGTCAGGGAGCATCAATTCCCTCAAGATTATAGGTACACCTTGCTGAAGAGTACCAAGTAGCACGAAACCTGGGTTCAGGGTTTCCTGTTGACTACCTCCAACCACCATCTAAGTGAACAATTATTTACTTTAAAACAGGACGATCTTAGTTGAAAATACACTCATTTAGTTATTATTATTATTGTAGATTAATTAATAATGACTTTATACAATATTCTCTCTTTGGCACAACAAAGCATTCTCAGTACAAAGTATGTCAACAAGTTTCCTTTTCTTATTTCTTGATCGATTTGTAAACTCGATTATTGATTAGAAAAGAGATAGATACATGTGAAATCATAACAAAATCTCATGCATCGTATCATGCTGAACAGAGATCATGTTAGATTCACTTGGTAACGTTTACTTGAATGTTCCCATTGATGTTTAGGATTACAAATGGTCAGTCTCTTATTGGCATATATGCATACTGTGCATATTGCCTCTATATTGTCATAATTCACAAGCGCTTTATGCAAAGATAGATGGTGGCTAATAGTGGAATCCAGTCTGTCGCGCGTTTCACCCTATTTGGGACATGTCATCTAGATGTACCTTCATCCCAGAGTTGATCTTCACCCTGAGACTCGATCAACTGCAGTCCTAAACATCAATCGGAAGATTCAAGTAAACAACAATACCAAATGAATTTAAACTTCACATCATTAAACAAACAACTAACTATCAGGACTCAGTAGCTAAGTAAATAACACGATGGCGTTCGAGTCCTAAACTGAACATGAACTCTGAGATGCAGATGCATCCAGTTGATGAGTTCGAAATAAGACGAAACGCTCATCAAACTAGATTCCACTGTTAGCCACTATCCATTTTTGCTTATATCGATAATAATGTTTCTTGTTGAAAATATCAAATGACATCAGTTAAAATTTTATTGAAATCCTCTGTAACGCCCTGTTGATGGGTAGTATATATATACTATTCATCAACAGGAAGTTACAAGAAAACTATAAACAAAATCTAGGCAAATAGGTTTAATAATGTTTTGCTTTCAACTAATTCAAATCCGACAGAATTGTACCGATTTGTTTAATTAATTCATTTATCATCTCCATAACACGTCTAAACGTGTAGATTGTCATAGAACAGTGGTGAACAATTAAAAATAATTAACACCCTTTTATTTAACTTGAAAATGACAAATTTGTTAACTGTCTCAATTCAAGAATCTAATGAATGAATAAATAAATTCTGAAGTAATTTAATAGTTGAATTCATCAATCGATTAAAGCGAGATCATCATAGAAATCCTGGAACTACTGAACGGTCATTCCGTCCTAGTATGGGACTCCTAAGCAGTACGCATCCATGATCCCCCATGCAAGACTCAAATTAAGAACCTTCAGTCTCTCACATGAATGCTTAACCTCTATCCAATGTTGTTTATGTCTAACTTCAACCAATCCACTAAATTGAGCGACACATCCACCATTGTCTTCAGTAAGTTACTATCTCACAACAGACACTACTGAACTCCATTAGACACAGCTTTTCACTAGAACTCCAAGAAATATCTCTTGAAGTCAATCACTAGTGGGCATATGATAATTATTATCATGAATTTAACTATTAAATTAATACAACCTCCAAAAAACCTCCTTTCTGATAAATTCTGAAGTCAGAAAGGGTTTTATGGAGATTGTAGTAATTTCAATGGTTAAGATCATGAGTCAGTTGTAGCTAGACCAGCACCATGGAAAACCTGGAAGCACTGGACGACCGTTTCGTCCTATTGTGGGACTCCTCAGCAGTGCGCATCCACGACCTCATCCCCTGCGAGATTCGAACCCAGGACCTACTGGTTTTGCGCGCTAGCACTTTACCAATAGACCACTGAGATGTAAAGTTATGATAAGCATAATTAGAATAAACACATTGATAAAATATATCTACTAGAGATTTGAATAAAACGGATGTTATCTTCAAAGTATACTAAACTCTTATAAAAATGTTATTTAGTTGATTAGAGTTGATAAAGGTAAACTATTAGACTTCAATAGTATCCAAAGTGCTGAGTACTCTATATTAGACTTTAAGTTCTTTGGTGGAATTATTTAAGTAATTGTGTTTTCACAATGCATGAAAGTACTGTATTTGATTGTGAAGAAGTCTACACCTCCATATTTTTCAATAGTACCACCTCCAGTTACGTCAATCTGTAGTGAACAATTACAACTGGGAATTTGGCTGAAGTTTAGTGGAGATTGGTTTACATTTTAGGTTATATTCCTCAGAAAACGGATCTCATTTGTGGCTTCATCGATAAAAAGTGAGCGTCCACTTAGACATTCAAAGGCCCTGGGTTGTGGTTAAGAGGTATTTATTAGAATGAAACAGTTGTTCATTGCTTCCTGGAACTCTGAATGAGACTAACCTATATCAGATATAACCTAGTTGTTAATTCGTTGTTTAAAACTAGTTAAATCTAAACTCAGTACAATAAATAGTTCTAACTTATTTCTCTCTTAGTTTTATCTTAGCCAAAACCACAATCTCAAATTATAGTCAACAGAATAACTTATGCGTCAGGTTCTCATATCCTTTAGTTGTACTTGTTGAAAGACTATTGTGTTGATAGCGACAGATTTAAGTTTCAGAATGAGAACATCACATCAGTCGGAAAATTCAAATTTAGTCCCCAAGTCCTA